CCACACACACACACATTTCATACACAGACACACACACACACACACNACATTCATACACACAGACAAACACACACATATTCATACACACCACACACACACACACACATTCATACACAGAGACACACTCACATTCATACACACCACACACACACATTCATACACACCACACACACATTCATACACACTACACACACATTCATACACACCACACACACATTCATACACACCACACACACATTCATACACACCACACACACATATTCATACACACATATTCATACACACCACACACACACACACACACACACACACATTCATACACACAGACAAACACACACGTACATAATACACACAAACACACACATTCATACACATACACACACATACACACACACATACACATAAATATAGACACAGATCAATTTCGCTTCTGAATTTTTCACTTCCATACTTCCATATGCAATGCATTTATTATATATTTATGCAAAATTATTATCAACTACGACAAATTATCATAAAATTATCATAAATTATGCTGATTTTATTGTTGAAATCGTAATAAATTATGATAATCTTAAAACATTGGCGAGTTGATTTAAATAGTGAGGCTGCAAAAATTAATTTAATTCGCCTAAAAAGTCTTTACTTGAATTTTCATTTCAAAGTAAGAGGCGACAATTTATTCATTTGTTCATATCTTCGTTCGTTCTTTCATTCATTCACCCTTCGGGTCACGAACCTCATCAAAGGTCAAATGATGATTTGCCAAGGTCAAGGTTGAAATTTGGTTACAATTAGAAAACTACTAATGTCCACTATATAAGCCATATATTTTGTTTAATTAATTTTCTTAATGAGCAGAGTGTGTGTGTGTGTGCGTGTCTGTGTGTCTGTGCGTGTCTGTGTGTCTGTGCGTCTGTGTGTTTATGTGTGTGTCTGTGCGTGTGTGTGTCTGTGTGTGTATTTCATAATTTATAATAATGACACAATAGTTAGACAACTAATCGCATTTAATTAGTTAATTTAATAATCCGTAAGCTCGAAAGCCACAACTGGAACTCGGTGATGGAATAAAAAGGCAAAATATTTTGAAGAAACTGTCTTAAATAAATAAATAATAACAACAACAACGAAAAAAAGAAAAAGAAAAAGAAGAAGAAGAAAAAGAAGAAGAAGAAGAAGAAGAAGATGATGATGAAGAAGAGGAGGAGGAGGAAGAAGAAGAAGGAGAAGAAGAAGAAGAAACTCCTATACAACAATGGAAAGGTCGAGAAATAAGAAACGGTTACAAAGAATAAAAAAATTATTAATATTATCTATTATCTATTATTATCTATCTGTTATTATCATATTATTCTTATTATAACTGGACATTTAAATTATAATTATTAGTATTATTATCATCGTCATAATTATCATTATAATTAATTACATTACTATTGCAACATAGGTGGGGTGATGCTGTTGCCAGTTCGTCGTGCATTTTCAGAACATTCAGTAGGAGGCTCATCTCAGATTGCAAATTATCTATCTGATCCTGGAGACCCTGGTTCAACTGCACGAGAGAGCTCTTACTCTGGTTGTGATTGTGATGGGTGGATGAATGAATGAATGGATGGATGAATGAATGAATGGGTGGATGGAAGGATGAATGAATAAATGGATGAATGAATCAGTGAGTGAATCAGTGAGTGAATCAGTAACTCATGAGTGAGTGAGTGAGTGAGTGAGCGAGTGAGTGAGTGAGCGAGTGAGTGAGCGAGTGAGTGAGTGAGTGAGCGAGTGAGTGAGTGAGCGAGTGAGTGAGTGAGCGAGTGAGTGAGCGAGTGAGTGAGTGAGCGAGTGAGTGAGTGAGCGAGTGAGTAACTCACAGCTAACAAATCATCCAGTTTTATCTTCTGCTTCAACCTGCACTTCCTGGCCGCTTCCCTGTTCTTCTGCTGTTTCAATTCTCTCTATGAAGGAGTGAGTGAGTGAGAGAGAAGAAATGAATGAATGAATGAATGAATGAATGAATGAATGAATGAATGAATGAATGAATGAATGAATGAATGAATGAATGAATGAATGAATGAATGAATGAATGAATGAATGAATGAATGAATGAATGAATGAATGAATGAATGAATGAATGAATGAATGAATGAATGAATGAATGAATGAATGAATGAATGAATGAATGAATGAATGGATGGATAGATGGATGGATGGACGGACGGACGGATGAATGAATGAATTAATGGATGGATGAATTTGATAGATGGATAGACTGATAAATGAATATATGA